TAACTCTCCAAGAAGTCCAAATATCATCCTCTTTATTCCACTCATGAGAAAGATAGTCAACACAAATTTCTGGAGGACGTTGAACCATACCATTAAGGTTATCGTCAGGTGTCATTATAATTGGTTGCATTGGATAATTTTCAAGTGATTGATGGTTTATTATAGAATGTTCCGACAAAAGATTTGAAGTTATATCGTTTGAAGTTTTATCGTCGTTAAAGAAAATTAATTTTGAATTATTGCGGGCAGAAACCGCCACGCTTTCGTGGTTTCTTATTATTGAAGGCAGTTTGATAACAGAAAGAGGAAGTTGACTATTTTTTTTAAAGTCGAGAATTTTTTTTACAAAATACAAAGTAGATATAAAGAGAACATAGGAAAGAAAGGAGAGAGAAAGCAGACCGCCTAAATGAGACCGGAAATTATTGGTAAATATTTAAGATAAAAGTAACAATACTGATTAATAAAGTAAATAACAGATAAGGATAACTCAGATAAGACTTACTTCTTTTCTTATCGATTATGTAAAACCAAATAGAGATTTGAAGAGAAAAAAAAAAAAAACAGGGCAAGTAAAAGTTGAAGGTTTTTATGGGCGAGAAAGACAGAGTGCTATAAGGATTAGGTTAGGGTTCTTTTATTTATATTTATATATTTATTTCTATCTACTTATATATATTATATAATATAAAATATATATTTGTGTATATATATATACGTATGTATAAATAAAAAAAAAAAAAAGCCGAAAATTTGTGTCAAAACCGAATTTTTTTTTTAAAAGGTAAGGAAGAGGTCAATTTATTTTTTTAATATATATATATTTTTTTTTTATGTTTAAACCGATATTTTTTTTTTTTTTTTTTTTACAGTACATATTTTACTTATTCATTTTTACTTATTCATTTATTCATTTTTTTATTACACAACATATTATTGTACATAAAAATAAGTATATAAAAAATTCTATTATTCATTTTTTTGTCAAACGTTCGATAAATAAATTCTCAAACTTATCTTCCATATCAATCGTTAATAGACAATCAAAAAATATCAGTACATGCCGCAAAAAAAAGTAGAAAAGCAAGGTAACCAATCAGAATAGAAGCCGATATTCACCATGACTCAAGGAGAAGCCGGAAATTAACGGAGATTAATAAGTTGGGAGATATTAAGAGATATTAGAGATACGTATTATGAGACATATATTAGAAATAAATATTTGAATAAATATTGGAGAAAATCCGAATACTAATAACGTGTATGCACAGAAAAAAACTGTATGCTACGCCCCGCAGCATTAATTTTTTTTTTCATTATAAGATATAGAAAAGGTAAAAGATAAGTAAATCATCACTAAAAATAAATAACAAGCAGCAACCATTAACAGGCAATGAATCATTATTTTTAAGGAACATTTTGGTATATCTTTCTTGATTCTCCTTGATACATTTCTTGACTTTTTACAATACGCATAAATATATTTTTGAGAAATACTTGGGGTATACTTGAAATATACTTGAATATAAATATACTAAATATACTTGGGATATACTTGAATATAAATATACTAAATATACTAAATATACTTGGGATATACTTGAATATAAATATACTAAATATACTAAATATACTTGGGATATACTTG